CTCGTAAGAGTGAAATGCCTCAACAACCTATGCTTTTCTGTGAGGTGTTTGATGTATGGGGAATTGACTTCATGGGTCCCTTTCCTGTATCATTTAGTTTTCTCTATATTTTACTTGTTGTTGATTATGTTTCAAAGTGGGTGGAAGTTATCCCCACTAGAACTAATGATTCTAGAGTTATTGCAGATTTTGTCAGGTCTAATATCTTTTGCAGTTTCGAAATACCACGAGCTATCATAAGTGATCAAGGCACTCATTTCTGTAACCGCACCGTGGAAGCTTTGCTTCGGAAGTATAGAGTTGTGCATAAATTCTCTACTGCATATCATCCACAAACTAATGGGCAAGCTGAGATCTCTAACAGGGAGATCAAATAGATTTTAGAGAAAATGGTGCAACCAAACAGGAAAGATTGGAGCCGTCGTCTAGAAGACGCACTCTGGGCTCAAAGAACAGCTTTCAAGACACCAATAGGGATGTCTCCCTATCGACTTGTTTTTGGTAAAGCATGTCATCTTCCTCTTGAGATAGAACACTGTGCTTATTGGGCGGTAAAGAGTTGTAATTTGGAGATGCAACAAGCAAGTATTGAAAGAAAAATCCAATTACAACAACTTGAAGAGCTTAGGCTAGAAGCTTACGAAAGCTCTAGAATTTATAAAGAGAAAACTAAACACTTTCATGATAAATTGGTTTCTAGGAAGGAATTCTCTGTGGGCCAACAAGTTTTACTATTTAACTCCCGCCTTAAGCTTATGGCTGGGAAACTTCGACCCAAATGGATTCGCCCTTTTGTTATTACTAATGTTTTTCCTCATGGTGCAGTAGAAATTAAAAGTGCAGGTACTAACAAGATTTTCAAGGTCAATGGGCAACGCCTGAAGCTATTCCATGAAAGTTCAGTGCCTGAAGATGCTACCATAGAAGACTTTTCTTTGGAAGCGCCGAACTGCACTACAACTTGACCAGTGAGCACCATTTCCTTTCTCTCACTCTTACTCTATAATTGAGTTCCTTTCATTGAGGACAATGTATGTTTTAAGTGTGGGAGAGGGAACCATTTGTTTTCGTTTTGTTTTCTTTGTTTCTGTTTGTTTTCGTTTTGTTTCTTTTTGTGCATTCTTGGTATGTATGTATGACTAAACTCTAAATTGTACATCACTAGTGGTAGATAACTAAACCATGTGAGATTTTGAGCCTAATAATGGATATAAATAAAAAATCTATCTCTTTCTTTCTTGTGTGATTTCACTCATGTTTGTTAGTCTCTAGAACTTTAATTGACTCTTGTTGAAGCTTTTTATTTACTTTTGCACACTGAAATGATAAAGGCATGTTATTTTGTTTTATTTTTAGCCAATTAGCCAAAGAGCCAACCTTGATAGTATTACCCTTGTTTTCAAGCCCTTTTGAGCCTATTATCCTTTTTTTTTGTTTAAAACTCATTACAAGCCGAAAAGTGAAAAACAATGAAATAACCCTATTCAAAGGGTTAAGAGAGTCTTGTATGGAGTTGTGTGAGGTTGAGAATTATCTTTGAATTATTGTTGTAATGTTGTTATGATGTTGACATAAAAGAAAAAAAAGAAAAATAAAGAAGGATGTCAATACATATCTCTTCCGAAAAAAAAGAGGAGAATAAAAGGAAAAAGAAAAGAGAAATAAGTTGTGAGATTGTTGTTGAAAGAAATTGATGTATCATGTAGTTCAACTCACACAATTCTTTCAATTTTCTTTTAACTCTTTGATTTTAGCCTAGTACCCCTTAGGATTTATCCTACCCTTACCTTGGTCACGTTACAACCTTAATAAAAGTCCTTTTGATCTTTGTGTGCATGTAAGTCAATTGTGAATGTTAGAGTTTTTTTTTCAAGCTTATGGTAGTACTAACTCTCATGTTGTGCTTTGAGTGTAAACATGTAACTAAACACTTGAGAGTTGAGTGGAAACAGTTTATCTTGTGAGGATCTTAATGCTTGTGATGTACTTTTTTGTATTCTACTTTTCATATATTCTTTGAATGTCACAAAAGAGTTAATCACTAATGTCATACTCTTGAAGCTTAGAATTTGAAGTTTGCTTGCACTTCGTATCCGGAAATCCTATATGTTTAGACTTAAACATTTGTATGGTTTGGTTTGTTTATTCTTCTATTTTATGATGTTTTTATCATTCAATTTATTTTCAGCCTTATTTGATTTTCGTTCGTTATTTTCAGCATTAATAGCTTTCAATAAAAAATTCATAATTGGAGCTACATGAATCAGATTGAGCTGTTCTACTAGTCGTTGGAAAGCTAAGAAAAAGATCTACAACTTTCATGTTGGACGAAGAATCTGATTCGGAGTGCATGGGTCTCGAATAATTCGTTGAAGTTTTTGACTGTATAAATTAAGTTGTTTCGGATCATTTTTATTGGGCCTGGTTTATGTTTCCGATCCGATTGAGTGTGTAGTGCAAACCTTATTTTGTTTATAAGGTTTGTTGTCGTGCTACAGGAGTTGAGACCTAGCTTTCACGAATTTTATTTTTACTTTCACATATTTGATGGCGAACTAATCCCGAGGGAAAATCTGTCGGATTTGAATTCCGTAATTCTTTGAGGTTCTTATCAATTTCAATTTAATTTAGTTCATTTCTAATTTATTCTATAATTTTAATTTTCTTAATTCGTTTCTTATAGAATAGATTGGATTTAATTCGGTTGATGCATGTCCCTTAAGTTAATCGCTTTTTAACTTAGCTTTTTTGTTATTTCGCGCTATCTTCAACCGTTTGCTTAATTCGGTGAACCGTTTGCTTAGTTCGGTGATTAGAGACATAACTCGTGTAATATTGTCGACGCTTGTTTGTTCAATATTGCAAGCAAATAGGAATTATAACCGCTTAGGGAATTGAAATTGTAATAACCGATGATAAGTTGGTAGTCGAACCGGTAGATTAACCTGTTTTAATCACTTATTTCAATAATCACTTATTTACTTTGTTTATTTTCTTAATCGATTTATAAAACAAAACAACCCCCCATAATCGTTTTCAATTGGTTAATTCATCATCAAGAATCCTAGTGAATCGGCATTTGAGTCATTGCCGCTTTACTACATTTTTAAAAAAAAAGAACTCGTTTTTTATCCGTGCGTGACAGTGGATCAGCCACCGTGGCAGGATTGACGTTGGACGACACGAGAACTTGCTGAAAAATTGCCGGACTCTCAAAATGCTAGGCGGCGTTGTAGGTTGCATTGTCGGATGAGGGAGAGGTGGTGAGTCTGTCCCTAGGGTCACCCTCTTCAATCGCATCCGTCACATTGTTGTCGTGGTCGTCGCTGGCAGTGAAGGTGGTGAAGGCAGCTTCGTGGATGTTATTGTTGGTGTGTTGATTGGCCATGATCGAATGAGGTTGAAGGTTTGCTTTGGTCTTTCGGTTTCAAAGAAAGAAAAGACGGGGGAGTAAGAGGTTTTCACATACGGCGCCACTGATCTTACCGGGATCAGAAGAATATCTAGTGGCCAGTAACACGTCGTGAACTCCAAGTTCGTCGGTGGTGGAGAAGAGGAGGGGTGTACTTGAAAGACACTCTGATGCTAAAGTGAGGTTCAGAGCGAAGTAGAGAGAGAGAGAGAGAGAGAGAGAGAGAGAGAGAGAGAGAGAACAAGTACAAAAAGTGAGTATGGAATAGAATACTTGACCCACCTGTGGAGGAGGGTATTTATAATGTGCCCCCAATGTTGGGTCAACGGTCATTTGCTGTGGGCTGGATCGTAAGGCCCACAACAGATGACTGCCAGGATCCTACGTGGAGATAGGGAAGACCAGCACGTGGTCTTCGTCCTTGGTCAGCTGCCTACGAACTCCAGGAAATGAATGACCTATTCTCACGGACGTGGGTTCAGCTGGTGACGTGCTCCCACGTGAGGAGCACGTGGAGGACGTGTGGAGAACGTGACCTCTCGCAGTGATGATGGGTTGAGCTTTTGTATTGAACCCTCCTCAACGTGGAACTGGATTGGGCCGTGTCCGATGGTGGGTCAGTCCCAAACCCAATCTAGAACAAATAATAATAATAATAATAATAATAATAATAATAATAATAATAATAATAATAATAATAATAATAATAATAATAATAATAATAATAATAATAATAATAATAATAGTAAATTTTGATATAAATATATATACAGTTTTTTTAACTTAATAATGTTGTGTAAAATTTTATTTACATTGTTAATATAAATTTAAAAATATATATTTTCAAAATGATAAATAAATATTTTATTATCAAATAATTAAGAATAATTCAGGAGGGAATACTTATCTCCTTCCTTGTCCTTTTTGAAAAGCATATTTTTGTGTGTGGTTAATAGTGCATACTTTTCTCATTCAAACTATAGTGGCTTAGTCAAATACAACCTGTGTAAAATAATCTTTCTTGATAGAAAAAGTGGAAATCAAGCAAATACTTTTCTTTTTTGTTAAGTTAAATTATATTTTTGATATATATGTTGACAGCATTTATTTGATATATTTTTTTTTGACTGTTTGATACTTTGATGGTTTGTATTAATTTAATATATCTGTGGTTCAGAGTATCTGAGTGTCTTGCACGTTTATATCTTATAAGTGTCGTTTTTCATGATAAAACTATTTTATTCTCCTTCTAAAAATAATACTATTTTTTATTTTGCATTTCTAGTATTTTTATTTATTTAAAATTCTGAGTCAGATTTACCTTATTTTTCGGATCTTTTTGACTTTGTTTATAAAAAAACTACTCATTAAAATCAATATTTGTTACAATCCACGAAACTTCATAGTTGGTATATTTTAAAAGCAAAAACAAACTAAACAGAATACTTATTTTTTAGTATAAAAAAATATTTGTTTCCCGTTACCTTTTTATTTTATTTTTTGCATATATAAATCTTTCATGAGATGTATCAGATTTAGTTTCTGGTTTTTGGGTTATTAAATCAAACCAAATCAATAATTCTCAACCATGATGAAGTTAGCAGGTATTGATGATAAATTGCAGAAGTTTTTGGTTTCAAATAAAGATGAAGTTGATGCTAGAAGACAAACTCGTGAAGCCTTTAAGGATATTCAGCTTAATATTGATCATATATTGTTTAAGGTATTTGTGTCTTTTCTTTTGGTTTTGGTTTTGGTTTTTTCTTTTGTTGTCGTTGGAATAATGAAATTGATGAAATGAATTAAACCTTTTTAATTAATTTTTTATTCTTTTTATTTCTGGGAAAACTGCATCTAGTTGTTGATGTTGTATGAGCATTTATGAGACCCCTTTTTTTTAGGATTTTATTGTTTTAATGTAACATGTTTGTTTTGAGATTATGTTCATTTATGTTGTTACGTGAGATGGAGTTAATACATTGACTTTGAGATTGGTAGTTGGCAAGGTTTTGAAAAACAATTCGATCGGGTAAAGACTTTTGTGATTTTGGTCACTACAGGATATATTGGTCGAGTCTGACACGGTAAATTAACTACAATTTATTCTTTAACATAAAAACCGTGAATAACATGGTCGATATTGACACATGTCGATACCATTTTGTCGCGACCGTTTTTGCGATCGCGAAAGTTTTTTAAAACCCTAGTAGTTGGTACTACTACTCTTGAGAAGGTTGTTGAAAGAGATAGAAGATCTCTTCTAGTTTAAATTTATAGCTATTAAATGATAGACACTATTTTTCAATTGTATTTTCTTTAAATATTAATATCAAATAGTTTTATGCTGCTGTTTTGCATTGCAGACTCCATGTGATGGATTAGAAACGAAGGAGGTACGAAATTTAGCTTGAAATGTTTTTTCATGTTATTTATAATTCGAGAAGATGAAAGTGATTGAATGAAATCATATATGTTAGTATCGTGTTGTGTTAAACAAAAATACTTGTTTGATACCAGACACATCTTCAATGTGTAGTGTTGTGTTGTGTTGTGTCGGACATAAGAACATGTCTGATACCTAACACACCAATGTCGATGCTATATCAATCATCACTGTTACCTTGTCACTATGATTGTTGGATGCAGATTCCTTGTCGTCATTGATGCATGCATTCACGCATTTAGTGCATTAGTGACTGTTCGATCAATATCAGATAGTTTATATTTAAGCTTTATATTTTAAATTATAATTCAAAAATTAAAACTCATATTTTTGAACCATCAGATCTCGATCGAACAGTCACCGATTCATCAAATGTGTGAATGCGTGCATCAATGACCGCAATGAATCTGCATTCATGATTGTTCTTCTTTACCATTAATGTGATATGATAACTTAATTTGAATGCTATGAAACAGTCTTATGAGGTGAACTCAAGAGGAATAGAGATCTTTGGGAAAAGTTGGATTCCTAAAGAATCTAAGCCAAAAGCAGCAGTTTTTTTCTGTCATGGATATGGAGACACTTGCACTTTTTTCTTTGAAGGCATGTATGAGTAATTCAGTCTATTCAGTTATCTTTTGGATTAGCAACTCAATTTTGTGATAATGGAACCATTTGCAGGAATAGCTCGAAAACTAGCATCATCTGGATATGGAGTTTTCGCAATGGATTATCCCGGATTCGGTCTTTCAGAAGGTCTTCATGGATATATTCCAAGTTTCGATAAGCTTGTTGATGATGTCATTGAGCAGTACTCCAAAATCAAAGGTACTTTATAACTGATGTTTTAAAAATAAGACCGAAGATCGAACTAATGAGACCTCTGAATCATATTTCAATAGGTTCAATCGGTTGAACCAACTTCAGTTCGACCATGTTCAATCCGGGTCGATTGTAAATTGTAGTACAATTGTGACCAAACCAACTGGCCAAATGAACTTTCTCGTTTCAACTGGTTGAACTGATTGAACTGATTAGTCTGGTCTATTTTCTAAAGCATTGTTTATAAATTATAACCCTTCTCTCGAAAAACCGTTGTGAAATGACTTATTTGTATGGCAGAAAATCCGGAGTTCAAATCTCTTCCAAGTTTTCTTTTTGGACAATCAATGGGTGGAGCTGTTGCATTAAAGATACATCTTAAACAACCAAAAGCATGGAATGGTGCAATTCTTTGTGCACCAATGTGTAAAGTACTTTTTCTCAAACACAATCATACTTAAAACTTCTGATATCATTTGTTTATAAACTACCTTTAACCTAAAAACTTCGCGTAGATTTCAGAGAACATGGTTCCACCAAAATTGGTTGTTCATATGCTTACCGCTATGTCAAATGTTTTCCCGAAGAAGAAGTTAGTTCCGATGAAAGATTTAGGAGACGCGGCATTCAGAGAACCAAAGAAAAGGGAACAGGTCTATAGCCTCAACTCAAATTCCAAGATATCTTTCGTTTCGAGCATTATTTTTTATTCTTGACACTTGATACTTGACACTTGACACTTATCTAATTACTATGCAGACGGCATATAACGTGATTAGTTATAAGGATAAACCGCGCTTGCGCACTGCAGTAGAACTTCTTAAAATTACCGAAGAAATCGAACAAAAGTTGGAAGAAGTATGTTCTCAACTTCTTAGTTTTCTATCTATTTTTCTTGTTATATGTCTCAAAAGTCTAAAGAAACTTATCTTGTGAGTGATTGAGAATGAATGATTATGATTATAGGTGACTCTACCATTATTGATCCTTCATGGAGAAGCTGATACTGTGACTGATCCATCAGTGAGCAAAGCATTGTATGAAAAAGCAACTTCTTCTGACAAGAAACTTGAGCTTTACAAAGATGCTTACCATGCTCTAATTGAGGGTGAACCTGATGACACAATAGTTCAAGTTCTTAATGACATCATTTCTTGGCTTGATGAGCACAGCTTGAAACAAAATATTCAATCTTCCTCTTAATATTGATTCTTATGTGTGTACATAAGAAAGAAAGAAACACAATTATTTATCTAGTTCTCTTGCAATATTTTTTGTTACATTCAATTATTCTAGACCATAGTTAATGATGTATATTAATATACAATGTTTATATCCTTACATAAGAAATAAACACAATCATTCATGTTCTTTTACTAAACCACATGTATTTAAGAGAGTTTCCGAGCAAATTTTTTTGATGGAAGAACAATTTGTATAGTTTCTTTGTGTCTCAAAAAGAAGATTTGTGGGATATGTTAGAAGATGGTCATAGTATACCTGTCAATCTAGACAGTTGCTACAGACAAGAAAGCACTATCATTTGAGAACAAGAGGAAATACAAACTTCATCATAAATCCAGAAGCATAATGGTGAACATTATCTCTTCCAAGGAATGTCTAGTCAACTTCATAAAGCATCTTTGACTCTATAGTAAGCACCTATGAAGGATATCAACAAATCAGAGAAGGCAAAGTTGAGGTTTTGATTCAACAAAATATGATGTTCATGATGAAGGAAGATGAATACATGTAGAGAAGAAAAATATTTAGCTTGGAAAGTTCAAGAGTAATTATCTATAACTTCAAATGATGAATCTTAAAGGTGGTAACTCCAATTATATCAAGAATATGATTCTCACAAGAATCAAACCAATGCATTTTTTTTTGAGAGGTTTCCACGTTACCACTAGATCTACTTATTAAATTTACATTTAAAATGTATATAATATCAATAAAATAGAAATTTCAAATATTAAATAATAATTTTATACACTAATTAATATTAAAATTATATTTTATTTAAATTAATAAAGACTTAATTATTTTTATAAATATATCTTTTTTTGTTAAGATAATATAATTGTGAAATTTTGACTAAAAAAAATTAGGAGGAAAATAGTTTAATAATAAAATAAATAAAAAATTATTAGTGACTGAAATTCCAGTCACAAATTTTTTTATGAATTAATTTATATAAAAACGATTATTTGAGACTGAATTATGATCACTAAATCTCAGTCACTAATTCGGCGGCTAATTTCATTTTGTAACCGACTTAATGACTTTTAAAATTTTACTAACAAAATGTCAAATTTTGGTGGCTAATTCGATCACTAGAGTGACCAAAAATTTTAGTCACTAATTCAGTTATTAAAAACAATTTTTTAATAGTGAGAGGATTCTGAAGAAGAAGATGATGATGACAAAGAGGAAAATTTAACACTCATAGCTGCAATCACTAACTTGTTGGTGATTTTAGTATCACCAATGTATTTTAGTAGTAATGTGATTTATTGTAGGCCGATGCAATTATGCGTTAAGCTTGAAAACGAGTTAGGGTAGTGCGGAGTGCACGCTCGTCGAACCAACGTGCAATTGAATGCGAATAATTGAAAAGGGATTCCAAGGGGAGAAGCCCCTAGCGGGGTGCGGGGCAGCGCCCCGTGGGGTTCCAAGGGGCAGAGCCCCTGACTGGGGTCCCGCTGTTGAAACTCAAGATTCCCGAACACAATTCACCATCTTGCGCTACTCCCTTGCAAGAAAACCACTTTGTCCCAAGGCTTTCACTCGGTCGAATCTGTGTTGACGTGATCTTGTCCAAAACCTTCAAATCAACCTGATCTTGAAGGAAAACCCCCACCTTAGTTTTCTTATTTGAAACAGACAAAGTTCTCAACCCAATATTCTCGGTTACACCATACCTAATTGGACGTTATCAACCCTAATCTAGATGGTCACCTAATCGAAAAATGATTATGTGTAGTTCAATTGTTTGTATACATAGAAGAAGGGATGAAGATGATGGGCAACTTTGTAATCTGGTTTCGTTTAAGTTTTATCCACCAGAAAACCTTACCTAGAAGAAGATGCATGTATGAGTATATATAGCTATGTGAATAAATGGGCAAAAGAAATGCAAAAAGTTTGAGCAAAATTGAAATTTTTGGATGGGAAAAACATATAAGTCAACCTATGAAAGCAATGGGTCGGCATATTCGTGTTGTTCAGGTCGGTCCGTGAAGGACATAGGTTGGCCTATCAAGTAGCCTGTGAGACGACCTGTGGGCAGAACCTACGGGCTTTAATACTGCTCCATGGAAGCCGACCTGGGAAATCTATGTGCCAGCCTATGCTAAAGCTGAGGCACATATAGGTCAGCCTGTTCATGCATAGGTTGGCCTGAATGCCCAAAAACATGTTTTTCAATGCAAATATGATGTTGACTCCTTTCAAACTCATTTAAATACTTCTTAATGTCAAAATGCATATCTAGAATGGGAGGATACCGTGCAATATACATAACGCTATACTTTTCTAGTTTTGAAATCATTCAAAATACAAAAGCACTCACAAAGAGAAATATGAGAAAAAGAAATTCAATTAAGTTTTAAAAAGACCAAACTTTTACTAGAACAAATAATTTATTATACTTAATTTTTTTAATAGAAAAGTTAATGTAGTTTTTATTTTAATTTAATTAAAAAATTAAATTATTGTTTAAACATAAATTAATTTTATATTTAATTTATTAATTATTTCTTTCAGCATAACTAAATTTAATTAATTAAGTTAATTAATTAGTTAACATTTAATTTGGAATTAAATATGTATGTGGTCCCTATAATTTAGGGTTTTACATTTTTATATGACATTGGATGTTCCAGGAGATCCACTAAGTCAGCTCATCGAAAATTCTTAGTGTTGGTGCAAAGGTAGAATAAATGATAAAAGGTAGAAATATTCTATTAAGAATGACGGCAGAAGAAACAGGATTAAAAGTTACAATGATTGTCACCCTATTTATAAGCTAAAACTAGAGTTACTAGAATAAGATAAAATACTAAAATACCCTCTAACAAACTTAGGGGCTAAGAAAATAGTACAACTAAATAAATATGAATTACTATTAATATTCTAATACCATCCCTTAATTCATATTCCATCAAAACTTGTAACACCAATTCCATCCCTTAGTCTGAGAAATTGATCAGTCTTGATAGCTTTCGTCAGAACATCTGCCAACTGCTTCTGAGTGTTGCAGTGTACAACTTCTAACACTCCACTCTGAACTTGATGTCTCAGAAAATGATACTTGGTCTCAATATGCTTGCTTCTCCCATGCAACACTGGGTTTCTGGCAAGATTGATTGCAGACTTGTTGTCAATCATCAACTTCAGAGGTTTGTCTACTTTAATCTTCAGATCCTGCAACAGATTCAGAATCCACACAGCTTGGCATGCAGTAACAGCACCTGCAATGTATTCAGCTTCACAGGTTGACAACGCCACAACAGGTTGCTTCTTGGAACACCAAGAAATGGAACCTCCCAGAAATTTGAACAAGTACCCAGATGTACTTCTTCTGTCAACTTTGTCTCCACACCAATCAGAGTCTGAATAACTCAGAAGTTCTGACTCATTATTTCCTCCAGAGGGAAATAACACTCCATACTTCAGAGTTCCTTTGATATACCTCAGAATCCTGACAGCAGCTTGGTAATGGGACCACTTAGGTTTACTCATGAACCTACTAACCATCCCAACTGAGTAGCAAATACCAGGTCTGGTATTGCACAGATACCTCAGAGAACCAACCAACTATTTGAAGGTTGTAGCATCCACATCCTTTCCTTCAGAGTCTGAATCCAGTTTCTGATTTGTATCAGAAGGTGTGACAGCCATCTTACAATTCTTCAGATCAAATCTCTTCAGAAGTTCTAATTCATACTTGAGCTGATGCAAAATGATACCTTTCTCAGAATATCTGAACTCCATCCCTAGAAAGTATGTCATTTTGCCTAGATCAGTCATTTCAAATTCATTCATTAGAACCTTCTTGAATTTGGCTATCTCCTGTTCAGAACTTCCAGTCAGCAGTATATCATCAACATATAAACATACCAGAGTCATATTGCCTTCAGAAGTATGCTGAACATAGACACCGTACTCCATCTCACATTTCTGAAAGCCTTGCTTCTTGAAAAATGAATCAATCTTCTGATTCCAAGCTCTGGGCGCTTGTTTCAATCCATATAGAGCTTTGTATAATCTGTACACCATCCCTTCCTGATTCTTTTTCACAAATCCAGGAGGTTGTGACACGTAAACTTCTTCTTCTAATGGACCGTTCAGAAATGCAGATTTTACATCTAAATGCATCAGAGGCCAATTCCTGTTAGCAGCTATTGCAATCACCATTCTGATTGTTTCATGTCTTGCTACAGGTGCAAACACTTCAGAGTAATCCAGCCCAGGTTTTTGTAGAAATCCTCTGGCTACCAACCTTGCTTTATGTTTGCCAATTGAGCCATCTGGCTTTAACTTCTGCTTGAAAACCCATCTGACGCTGATGGCTTTCTTGTCTTTTGGAAGTTCTGTCAGCTTCCAAGTCTTGTTTCTCTCTATAGCATCAAGTTCTTCTTTCATGGCCTTTAGCCAAAGATTCTGCTTAAGAGCCTCTTTTGTACTTATGGGTTCAGAATCTACCATCATGGCACACTGAATAATTTCTCCTTCAGAGTCTACTTCAGTGTCTTGCAGCATGTCAAATTCTGCATATCTTCTGGGAACGTTTCTTATTCTTTGTGGTCTCTGAACTTGTTCAGAGTCTTGAGCTTCAGAGTTTCTAGCTTCAGATGATTGACCTCCAGAGCTTTGACCATCTTCAGAGTCTGGCATATTTCCAGAGTCTGAATTGCCACCAAGATCTGGATTGCCATCAGAGTCTGGGTCATCTGGGTCACCTTCATCTTCTGAGTCTTCTTCAGAGTTTGAATCAGTATCAGAGTCAGAGTCAATATCAGGGTTTACTTCAACTTCAGAAATTCTTAACTCTGGCCTTTCTTCAGAGGTTCTAACATCAGAATCAGATTGAGACTTATCCCAATTCCAAACTTCTGATTCCTTCACAATCACATCTCTGCTGAATTCAATTTTATTGGTTTCTGGACAATAGAGCTTGTAAGCACCAGTACTGTGGTACCCTATCAGAATCATCACTTTGCTTCTATCATCCAGCTTCTGTCTTCTGTCTTCTGGAACATGTTTATAGCAAACAGAACCAAACACCTTTAGATGACTAACACTTTGCTTATCTCCAGTCCACTTCTGTATTGGAACTATTTCCTTCAACTTCTTCGTAGGACATCTGTTGAGTACATACGTTGCAGTGGCAACAGCTTCTCCCCAGAGCTTCTGAGGAAGCTTCTTCTCCTTTAGCATGCTTCTCACCATATCAAGCAAAGTACGGTTTCTTCTTTCAGCAAGACCATTGTGTTGAGGGGTATAAGGAGCAGTAACCTCATGCTCAATTCCATTCTCCTCACAGAACTTCTGGAACTTTTTGGAGTTATACTCACCTCCACCATCAGTTCTAAGAATCTTCAACTTCTGACCACTCTGATTCTCAGCCTTCATTCTGAACTTCTTGAATTCATCAAACACCTCATGTTTAAATTTAATAAGGGATACCCATGTCATTCTTGTGAATTCATCAACAAACAACACAAAGTACTTATTCCCTCCAATTGATGCTACTGGAAATGGACCACACACATCAGAATGTACAACTCCTAAGGCATGTTTTGCTCTTGGAGCAACTTCTAACGCAAATGGCAAACGTGGTTGTTTTCCTTCCATGCAAACTTTGCATGACTTCTCAGGCTTCTTAATTGCAGGAATTCCATGTACCAGCTTCTTTGAATTCAGATGTTTTAGGCTTCTGAAATTCAAATGACCAAATCTTCTGTGCCACAGCTCACTCTCCTTCTCAGCACATGTTGCACTAAGACATTCTGAGTCTGCAGTTCTGACATTCACCTTGAATGTTCTATTCCTTCCCTGTTCTGACTCCATAATCAACTTCTGATTGCAGTCATACAGCTTCAGAAGATTATCCTTCATGGTAACTGAAAAACCTTTCTCAATTAATTGTCCCACACTCATCAGATTGCTTCTGATGCCAGGTACATACCACACGTTCTGAATCAATGCTGTTTTCCCATTGTTCAGAATCACTCTGACATTTCCCATACCTTCTGCATTAAGATATTTGTCATCAGCACATCTGATCTTTGTTCTCTTTTCAGAGTCAAAGTCAACCAGCCATTTCTTGTTTCCAGTAAGATGATTTGAACAGCCAGTGTCCATATACCACCAGTCTATCAGATCCATATTATCAGATTCAGAAGCCATCAATAGCACAGATTCGTCATCGGAACTTCTGGCTATATTTGCTTCTTCTGATTTTCTCTCCTTGTTTGACCAACAATCTCTAGCAAAGTGACCAAACTTCTTACAACAGTAACATTGGATCTTCTTCTTGTCATACTTCTCTTTTCCCTTCTGAGCATTCTTTTGTCTATCAGAGGTTGAGCTTTCTGACTTCTGACCACCATCAGATCTTCTCCTGGCTTCTGACTGCTTCTGATACCTCCTATCAGAAGTTGCTTTCAGAGCCTGCTGCTCTACTTCCTTTTCAGAAGTTCTCTCAGTCAAACGCAACTCTTGCGCTTCTAGACTGCTCTGCAGCTCTTCAATTCTCATGGTGCTCAGATCTTTGGAATGTTCTATTGCTACCACAATGTAATCAAATGAGGAGTAAGGGATCTCAATACTTTCTCCATTATTGTTTCTTCTGAAAGAGTTTCTCCACACGCCTTCATCTCATTAGTGATCAGAATCATTCTGGAGATGTATTCAGAGACTTTCTCATTATTCTTCATGTTGAGATTCTCATATTGCTTTCTCAAGGACTGAAGCTTCACCTTCTTCACTGATGCGTCACCACCATAACATCTCACCAGTGTGTCCCACGCAGCCTTTGCTGTTGTTGAATCTGCAATCTTCTCAAACACATTTACATCCACACATTGATGAATAAAGAATAATGCTTTCTGATCCTTCTTCCTTACTTCCTTCTGCGCGTTTTTCTGTTCATCCGTTGCATCTGCTGCTACTGGAACATAACCATCAGTGACAAGATCTAGAACATCTTGAGCACCAAATAGTACACGCATTTGGATCATCCAACGATTCCAGTTTTTACCATCAAATACTGGAAGTTTGGTGTTCATGTTGCCGTTTCCGTTCATCTTCTACCTTGCACAATACACTCAGATTTCTCACACAGTGTTTCCTAACCCACAGAATTAAAATTCTGATCAGATTTTGTTCAAGATTCAACACGAATCTAAGAATCAAAATCAAACACACAAGACCTCACGTTCACTCGTGTTTCCCGTGTTTCCCAATGAATCTGAACCGGAGCTCTAGATACCAATTGTTGGTGCAAAGGTAGAATAAATGATAAAAGGTAGAAATATTCTATTAAGAATGACGGCAAAAGAAACAGGATTAAAAGTTACAATGATTGTCACCCTATTTATAAGCTAAAACTAGGGTTACTAGAATAAGATAAAATACTAAAATACCCTCTAACAAACTTAGGGGCTAAGAAAATAGTACAACTAAATAAATATGAATTACTATTAATATTCTAATACTTAGAGGAACAAGCTATGGCAAATCATGTTATTGATGTGTTTTCTAGATGTCGTCATATCATGGAGATTGGGCAAGCAGGTATAGATAGAGGTCTTTTTCGAATGGCTCTGAATTAAGGGACGTTCTAGATGCCATGATGAGGGAGACATGAGAGACACTGCAGTACAAGAGGCATCGCAGGAACAGAGGGCATAAGTCTGTCATACGCAGTAGTATAGAGTATTTATATTAGGAACACTATTTTCGATTTTATTTTATTTTGACTTTATCATATACTCTGGATTTATCAATTTATGTCAGTTTCATATTATTCGAAAAGTGTGTGGTTTATACTTATAACTATAATATATCGTCAAATTCATCACAATATATCTAAATCATAGTAAAAAAATTATTGTCTGGTGTGGTTCCGGTGATGCATCTTCGAATTCTGTCTGGTGTGAATACGAAGATGCATCTCCAGACCAGTATATGTCATAAAAGGGGCGTTTCAGTGAGGAATACATCAATTATACATATAATAGTTTCGGAGATGCATCTCCGAAATAAATTTTGAAAAAAACATAGGGTGCATCTCTGTTGGAACGTGTTTCAATGAGACAGATAATATAATCGGAGATGCATTTTCAAAAATTCAGAGGAGTTATTTTTAGATTTTATAGGTGTTTTTTCACCTCTTAGGATGAGATTAGCTATTCCCTAATAATTTTATTTTTCTTGCTCATTCTTTTCCAAAAGTGTAGATCGGACTGTCATGTTTATAGAATTAAAACTGCTATATATCAAATAGTTTCTGCAGCCAGTAGCTTTATCATGAGATTCACACAAATATCAATTCAAATTTGATCTGAATTTTGTTGAATGATTGACTGTGGTTGGATTCACCCGAATGTGGTGTGTTTACTGGTAATAAGAATAAAGTTAACAGATAAATCGGTTACCAAGGAGTTAAATATATGCGCGAAGAGAACCACAAGAGCAAACTCGAAAGATGCTTAAATCCATATGAACCTGCTCTTCACTGGACACAAATTTAAACAAAGTATCAGGGTTGGCATACGAGTGAAACTCAACCTAGTAAGAGTATCATGAATCCATATGAACCTGCTCTTCACTGGACACAAATTTAAACAAAGTATCAGGGTTGGCATACGAGTGAAACTCAACCTAGTAAGAGTATCATGAAAATATTGAGTAATAGACTTCTAGGAAAATTGTTAAGTAAATTGCAAATTTGACAGCTCATTGATAAAAACAGTGGCTCAAAAAAACAAAAATAGGTCAACATGGTGGTGACAATAAGCACCGGAACTTCCTGCCAAACCCTATAAAATTGAGTAGACAAATAAAATGGTTCATGATTCTTGATGATTGAACTATATTCATGAAGCTCCAAATTGAAGCTTATAGCCAAACTCACTTTTCATGAATGCAGATGCAAGTGTTAATAATAAGATTTTACTATACCAGTATCTTTTATCGGAGACGTGCTCAACAACTCATTTCCTTCCTTTGCTTGAGGAGTAGAATGAACGACGCAAAAAAATGAATTCATCCTCCTTAGACTTTTCTCCTTGTTGTTGGCGGGCATCAAAAGATAGCGCGCTATCTTACGTCAAAACTCTTTTTTCTGCAAAAGAAACAAATAGGTTAAGTCGCAACATTATTATTTTTATAGGAGAAATTGAAAGCATTGCTTAAATTCTTACACTCAGAGAATCACAATCAACACTTCCATTTCCACCATGAGTAGATTCTGGGATTGAATGTCCAATTTCTTCTAATGGCAATGATGAAGTTCTTTTCATCCTAGGAGTAAATATTTTACAAAGTGACAATGATCTTGAGATCATAGGCTTTTCTCGAGGGCCTGAAGCGGAAACTTCCAGAGTTGGTACATTCGCATTTTCAATATCAGCTGGTGTCCTATACATGAAGCTCCATTTTGGTATGATGTTTCTTAAGGATGATTTGCCTTTTGATGTTGCAGAACCAGCAGAATTATTTGTTAGAGCATTGACGGAACGAGAAGTCATCAGAAAATTCTCTAAGACAAACTGCTATACATCAATAATCAAACTCTAAGACAAACCAACAAACACAATTCCTCAATCCATGTCTCTCTCTTCGACCAAAAACAAAATCATTGTCTCGCACAAGCCAAAAAAATAATAATAAAGTCAAAAGCCTCCGGGTTTTGAAGTGCTGACGTATTCATCGGTACTAATAAACAAACAGAAATTCCATAGCAAGAAAAGCTATATTCATAAACTGTACATTGTAGTCTCATGTAGATGTGTAGTAAATTGGTAACAAAAGATTAAATTTCCTACTCTATACAATATGTTCTGCAGCCACTAGCTTAGTCATGAGAAGCATACAAATATAAACTCAACTTTGATTTGAGTCTTGTTGATTTTGTACTATAGATTGATTGCGGTTGGATTACATCTCTAACTCTACACTATCAAGTGATGTAATGCATGACACACAAGATAATATGATTAAGTAACGATAACTAGTGATTGCCTTATGTATCTAACATGTTACGCCTTATGTATCTAACATGTTACAAATGCAGCAGCAGTCCACCAATTTATAATCTAGCATGGCCATAATGTATCTTATCAACAGTATAGAACAAATGCACAAGTGAACTGGTGAGAAAGTTTTTCAGTTTCCCATTTATATAATTTTCATAAACTGAGATAATTATCACTATTACTTTGTAGCATGATAGGTCTCAGAAAAACCTGATTTCAGTATTACATAATATATGAGCTTTTATAACACGACATAAAGCCACAAAGCCTAGTGCAACTTAGAAACCAAGTGAGTATTTCCAACAATGCTACGTGTAAGTTTTTGCACCCCAGAGATTCTGTGGTGTAACTTATACACAGTTAAAGAAAAAAGTAAGCTGGGAGATAATATTCTCGCATGTCCAAGCGAAAGAATTGGTTTTTGGAAGTGAAAATTTATGCCTAGAACGTGGAACTACAAATGGATCACAACTAATTTCAGGGGTTACATTGTCTCAACGAAACCATGCTTCTCCAATACGGCAACTGTCTCTTCCTTCGCGCTGCAAATACCAAGTGAACAAGAACACAATCAATGAACTTTTATGTGACACAAAATTCATAAAATATCAAATGTAGTACATAGTAATCAAAGAACTGGTTTCTTTCAAACAAGCAACATCCTTAATTATCGAACATGCAGCTCACTTGTCGTTTTGACCCATTTGTATTACTTAAAGGCTTCAAAATTATGATGATTGTGTTTTATATACATTTTTCAGTGGTAAGGTCACCCAAGCTATGCAACACAACACTTCATATTGAATGTGTGTTTGTTGCCTAACACCAAAAAATGTGATTTTATTCAATTAATTTCATTTTTTTTCAAATTATGACCAGTGTCGTGTCCGGTGTTCATTTTTATAATACTGTTTCATAGCACCTGAGTGGAAGATGAATATAGCATCATTTATTTTTAGATATCTATGGTGAAGTATTAGAACATAAAAATCCCACAACTTTCATCCTACATTAAATAAACAAGATTATGTAAAAAAATAAATATTTTAGCATCTGCATCTGACATAATAGTCCATCCTTTAAACAATACAGGAAAAATAAGTTTAGCCAAAATACCTTCCAGGTCTAAGAATCTTGTATTTGTGTGGTGTACTGAGATCCACAACGGTTGAACCAGCACGGCCAGATGGAAGCGTACCGCCATCATAAACAGAAGCACAGTGTTCCCATAGTTTTTCAAAATCTTTGATGCAAACGCTACTTGGTTGTCCACTTAGGTTTGCACTGGTAAGGGCCAAGGCAGTTCCTGAACCACGGGCAATGAGCCTAATGAAATTGCAATCAGGAACTCTAACTCCTATACTATCAAATCCCGGGTTCAAAGATCGTTCAAGAGCACTTGATTCTCCTGTAATATTCAAGCATATAAAAATTAATTTTCCCTTACACATAAACTCACACGCAAAGACAAGTGTCTGACATACAAACCTCGTTTTAGTACAACTGTGACAGGCCCAGGTAAGAGAGAATCAAGCAGACCATGAGGTAAATTATCGGTTAGAGCAAAACGGTCTATGTCTGATACGTCACTAACACAAATAGCTAGCGGACTTGTATGTTTACGGCCTTTAATCTCATAAATCCTGTTAACTGCTTCCAACTGGCTGCCAACAAGCCCCGACAAAAGGTAAGAGGTAATTAATCATTCAAAAAAATAAGTGAATAGTACACAAACACGGACACCGAACACCAATAATAATTGGAAAAAAAATGAATAAATTGAAAGTAATCACAAGTGTTGGTGTCCAACACTGACACGGACACACCTTTAAAGAGGTCTAATATTTGAAAAATGTGCAGTGCGAAGTATATTTTAGACAAAGTGGTTAAACAAATACAAGTGAGACTCACAAAAATGAAACATGAAGGATTTCAAGGTTACATGAAAATAGCATACCAAGCATCACAAGCAAATCCATATAATGTATCAGTGGGAACTGCAATAACCTTCCCAACTTTCAAAGCTTGAACTGCCTCTGCAGCATAAGCATCTGTTGCAGGATGAACCACTCCAATCTTAACATCAAGACCCAAGTCACATCTTTCCATACTCCAAGCCATGTTTTTGGAGAAACCCCTTCTAATTCTTTGATTCTGTTGCAAACTTCCTGAAACATCAATTGGTTTAACAATCTCATAATTCAACATGTAGAATTAGAATTGGTTCAACTTTAACCACCAAAAACACAATACCATATAAAGTAAACATTTTTGTTTCAGAATTTCAAATTTTAAGAACGAACACAAGTGGCATATATATAAAAATGTTAAAGACAAGGGGCGAATTTGGTAAATTCTCACGACCCACCAACTGTTTGATAAAATGTTCAAAAGAAAAAGAAGGAGAATAAGAGACTGACAGTGGTTGTGTGATTAAACTGCACCTCGAAAGAAGAAATTGGGCAAGAAGGGAGTGTTAAGAAGAAACCGTCCTTGTATCATCATCTACGTTGACAATTACACTGACTTTCCATAAGACACAAACCTAAATAAAAATTATTTAGACACACACTCATAAAATACATATTATTTTGTTATTTTAAAAATAAGTATATTTTATTATTTTTTCTATGTTTGGATTGATGGAAAAAGATGAAATGGAATGGAGTGAAATGTAGTTATATTTTATTATTTGATTTTGTAAAAAAATAGATAGAATAAAATGGAGTGGAATGGAATAGAATAATGTGGAATGGAACCAATTCTATCTAATATTAAGAATGCCAAAACGGGTATCTGCCTCACCTTAAATCCGGAAAAAAAAAAAAAAAAAAAAAAAGGTCGGACAAACCCGCAAAGTGGAAATGGACATAAAAATCTAGCTCGCTCCGCCAAGGTGGCGGATTTGCGAGCGACAGGCTTGCCCGCCTACTTTTTTTATTTTTTAAATAAATTAATAGATTTGTTTTTACATTTCAATTAGGTTTTTTACTTATTTTTAGAACAATTTTTATAAATGTTGTATATATTCTCAAACTAATATATAAAATAAAACTATCAAGAATTAGAATTACTAGAATTAACTAAAAAATGACAGGTTTCAGGTGGAACAAGCTGAACTAATAGATGTGGCGGACTTTCGCATGCGGCAGAGTTTTGATAGGACGGACTTTGGCTGGTGACGGTCTTTAGTGGGGAGACTTTGGTGGGCAGCGGGTCTAAAATCTCAACCCAAACCGCCATTTTTTGGCATGTGCGCGGGTCGGCCCTGCGGACCATGGGTCATTTTGCCACTTCTATCCAATATCACTATTTTAACTCATTTTGAATTCCACAAATTGAAATGTATCCAATCGAATGGAATTAATTAATAACACAATTACAATTTTGTCCTCTAAAATTTCAATTTTATTAGATGTTCTTATTCTTCATTTCATGTGATATTTTTCTATTCATTCATTGAATCTCTTCTTTTTTTAGATATTTTTTTCTTCTACCCTAACAAAATATGTCATATTTCTTCTTATTTTTCACCTATTTATATGTGTTTTATTAGTTTATTTTCATATTAGTGAGTATTTCAATTTTTAAAAATTAGATATGATACTCTTGTGTGCTTCTTGTTACTTTTTTCGATTGTTGTGTGTCTTTCTCTACTGTTCATGGGTTGCTTTTCTCCACGATTTACATTGCTACTTAATTCTATAAATTCACATTTTCTTAGCCACCTAACAAAAATAAGAATTTGTAATTGCACATCAATCAAACCTCAATAAAATCGCACTTCCTCATCAACCAAACAAAAAATATCATACTTTTTCGGCAAAACCTCCACACACACAAAAACCACATTTTTCAAGTCACTAACTACAACTCAATAGTAAAATACTTGTTATAAAAATTGTATTTAAAGTGTTATAAAAATTGGATTTACATTGTATAGAAAATAATAAAAATTAGTTACAGTACTATAAAAATTGGCTAATAATATTATGTAACACAAGTAAAAAAGAATTATTAGTAACATAAATTATTGATTTGTTATAAAGATTCTTAATTGATTTGAGTTTTAAATTATGTATATGATTTGTTATAAAAATTCTTAATTAATTTATTCATTTTGATATGATGTGCTTGATTTGTTATAAATATTTTAGTTTGATTCATTTATATATGAATTTATAATTAAAGTAAATTTTATTATTTAATTTGTTATAGATGATTAACGAAGATATAAGAATTAAGTATATGAAATTGGTTCAAATGATGATTCTTCAAGTATCTATTATTATTGTTATAATATGTTTGCTAAAAAACAAGTGTAGAAGATCCCAAATACCTTATAGAATCACATAACAAAGAGAAAAAGTTAGAAATGAATTGATGAAACATATTATAGGAAGTGTGTGATGTTATGATATGATTCGTATGAGTCCCAAAACTTTTTTAAACTTGTGCACCCTATTTCTATATCAAGGTGGACTAACACATACACGAAGAGCGTCTATCGAGGAACAAGTAGCAAAGTTTCTTCAGATAGTAGGACATAATTTCAGAAACTGTGTGATGCTCTTCTTTTTTAGACGTTCTAATGAAACTGTTAGTATTCATTTTCATAGAGCGTTAGATGCTTTGAAAGAGGTGGAGAGAAATTTTTTAAAACAATCTGATGCAACACAAGTGCCTCCGCAGATACTTAACTGTCATAGATTATACCCGTATTTTAAGGTAAACAAAAATTGTGTCTTATACAAATATTGATTAGTTTTGTTATACACTTTTAATATATAAATAGAATGTCAAAAGTGTATTGGAGCAATTGATTGCACATATGTGTGTGTGTTAAAGTTCCAATATAACTCGCACCTATATACCATGGTAGAAAAGATTATCCCACATAAAATGTATTGGTTGCATGCTCATTTGACTTGAAATTTACATATGTCTTAGTTGGATGGGAAGGAAGGACATCTTACTCAAAAATAGTTAAAAATGTATTGGCACATGCATATCATCTTAAAGTTCCACAAGGTAATTGTTCTGGACTGGAACCTACCCCATAGCTGGGCAAGACCCAATCTAGTCTAAGCTTAAGATCAGGCCCAATATAGACCATGGGGCACAATATAGTCGTTGAAGCACATAGCCGTTGGGGACATGCCTCCCACGCGCTTGACAGTTCACACGACTGTTAGCTCAGAAATTCGAAGCCCATATTAAATTGGAAGTATTTGTTGGAATGTTAAATTCCTGATGTAGTGTAAAAGAGTCTTCGACTGGGTCTTTGTGATAAGTTAAATCTAAGGCACTTACATAAGAAAGTGAGACTTTTTTTGGGACTTGGAAAGTATTTCTAAGAATGGAGGAGCTACCTTCGACCGAGAATATTGTCCAATACTAAGGAAATTTAGAATTCAAATAAAAATGGGAGTAGTTATTCCTGTCCACTCCTGAAGAAGACAAGTGGCGCACATCCAAGAGGCAGATGCATGCAGCGCAACACTTGTCAGATGTTAATTATCTTAGGAAGTTAACGACAGTTAGTTTTATTATTATAAATAGGGGTTCTAGCAATAGGATTAAGGTGTGTTGTGTTCACTTTGTACAAGTCACTCCAATTTACTCAAAGTATCTGTGTGTAGAGAAAATAGTCTCGGGAGAATGTACATGATGTAAAGCACCATTTTCTTCTTTAATGAAATTTACTTTCACCTTTTAACAAAAGAGTTTATCTTTTACTTTCCTGCAATTTACATTTTCAGCGTTATATCTTGTTTTGTCTTTTAAGCTTTCTTTAAAGTCTTCACCCTTTTTTCGATTTAACATTCTTATGTTTCTATCGAACCATGCACTTAAATAAACTTTTTATTTATAAACACTATCGAAGTGTTTAGTCTTTAGAGTTTTCTTTGAAATAACATTTAGCACATGTCCTGGATTAATCTGATCGATCCCGTGAGTCACTAAAGTTAGATTTGGAAGATCAGCGTTTGTTTTCCAATTTTTATGGGAAACAAATTGGCACGCCCAGTGGGACAATGCTAAATTTTATAAAGTTTTTTTTTATTTTGAAAATCTGTATTTGTTAGTCTTTTCTTTGAAAAAAATTTCATTGCATGTTATTGAGAAGTGGAAAAGTAGCCACTACAAACGAAGAAAGACCAAGGAGAAACTACACTAGAAAAATGGCGACAAATGCTAATCAGTCAAACAATCCAAACCCTTGAGGGAGTGGTTTTAATCCTCAGCCTAGTAATACTAATCCTCGAGACGTGCCTAGGAATGATGTAGTCCCACCCTTAGTCCTTTCGACAAGAGAGCAAATAATGCCTCATGTTATGTCTGAACCAATGCCATCAGTGTTGGGTTCAAGGTCGACAGATCTAAGGGCTTACACTCAACCTGTTTGGAGTACGTTGGGCCACAAGCATCAAATCCTCAAAGTCCATCAGAAGGAACTTCGACATTTAGACATTTTCCCCCTCCAGGGTTTTTACAACCATTACCAAGGAATCCACCATATGGAATGCCAACATCAGTAATGCAAGGCCTCCAAAATGCTCCCTTAGTATTCTCAGAGAATGTAATGGCTTCACCGTTACAAGGTTCAGGATCTGGGATAAATGTGGGTCAAAATAGTCAAAGTGTAGGTGAGGGGTATTTCACTCAAGACCCTAATCTGACAAATACTTCTATAGCATGTTTAAGACAACAGATGGACGAGAGTAACCTACAAATGGTATAAACCTTGTCCCAAACTAAGGGGGAGATTTTCCAGCCCTTAATCCAGAACACTACCCAGACTAACCAACAACTAGCAGTGCAATTGGCACGCTTGGCAGAATTTATGGGTGTACTAGCCTCTGTTCGAGGTACAACTGTTGTGGAAAACATCCCACGACGGAACCTAGGGAACGTACATGAGGAGAATCTAGAAAGTCAGGGGATAGTTGAACCCCTTAGACTCAAACCTCTTAGAGTCGAACCACCTAGGAACCAAGTACCAATTTTGGTTGAGAGGGAACCAAAAATGATTATGGTAAATTGAAACCAAGATGCTGACCACGTAATACAACAGGTTTGACGTAACAACATAGTTATTGATAATAACTTAGCAGCCATCGTCGAAAGGATAATGGCCCGAAATGGGGTAAATTCTGGTTTTACTAGGCCAAATTATACATCACCGATAGTAGATTACATCCTCCAGTCAGAATTACCTCATAAGACGAAGGTACCAAAGTTTACCAAATTTTCAGGAGATACTACTGAATCTACTGTCGAACATGTAGTCCGGTATATGATCGAGGTTGGAGAGATTGTAAATGACAAAAGTCTTAGGATAAAATGTTTTCTAAGCTCTCTCACTAAAAATGCTTTTACTTGGTTTACAACCCTACCTCCTAACTCAATCTGTAATTGGACCCAGTTGGAGCGTTTATTCCATGAACAATTCTACATGGGACAAACCAAGATTAGTTTGAAGGAATTGGCTAGCATAAAAC